ATTCAAGCAGTTACATCATTAAGAACGTCAGGTGTAATCCAATTCAAATCAAAGAGCTTTAGCAGACATCTGGAAAACCTTTAGAACTGAAATTCAGAGTATGAGTCATCTACAAGACATTTATTTGCACAAAGACTGTATCAAACTTTGGTATAAAATTCTTCTTAAGATTACTGCAAGATTAACAAAACCTCCTGCTTAGTAAACAAATCCCTCTTAATTTTCAATCACATCATCACTTCTAACTTTAGTGATAACCCAACATTTCCAAAGATACAAACATCAAACTATGGAACTGAATTGGGGTGAGCTAAAAAAGTTTATGTGTGAGTCTAAATGTGTAATCCAAGACTGAACTCCAAAAGAATGTGCAGATTTTTTAGCACTGCTGAAGACAGTGTTCACTCCTGAAATCAACTATATCACAACAGATGTCAATGCATTAAAGTAAAAACTACTAACTAACTGCAATCTTAGAATGAACCTGTAGGTACCAATCCTACAGCTAAATTCATACAGTATCTGAAATTTATTATTTATGTAGTATCAGCTGAAAATGTGTGGCTGAAGCTTGAAGCATAAAATGCATCTAACAACGAACACACAGCTATCAAATGTTCATGTCCAAGAGCAAGATAGTCCATAATAACCTGAGAACTGACTCTACTCATAGGCAATCACTGCAGTTGAGTGGGGAGATGAGAAAAAACTGCTTTTAGCAGCTGAATGACAACAATTATTTATAAGACTTTAAGTAGGCCCAAGCACAGCAAAAAAATCCTATTGAATTCCATGTTGCATATTCCATATTGCAGTTCCATAAATAATACCTTTGGTGCTTTCTCTATTTCCACAAGACACATCCTACAGTTTCCAGCAACAGAGAGACGATCATGGTAACAAAACCGAGGTATCTGAACTCCAGCCTTTTCACAGGCCTATAAAAAAATAAGAAACAAAGGAAAATTAAATCGATTAGTTAGACTTTTCAGTTCCACCTCAGAAAACACTATGCAGCTTTTCAAAGAGTAACACTCACAAATAGAGTGCACTTGACCTTTCATCTTAAGAAGTGACCATAAATAAAAAATTGTGACGAAGCAAAAAAAAGTCAGGATATCAATTACAAATACAGTTTCTCTAGTCTTTGTAAGCAATTGAGGAAATGAGAACTGACCTCTCTTTCATTCTTTCCTCCAATAATAGACAGAATTCTTTGCAACAGGGCACTAGCAATACAAGTAACTTCTTAAAGAACCCATATACTCTTTAAAGAACGGTGCAATAAAGTAAAAATTGAAAAACATAAAAAGAGCAACAATGGGCATAATGATTCCTGATAATTCAGCAACACAGATCCTTTGTATAAAGGTATTCCAGAACAGACAATCTTCAACTTCAGCAGACCCCAAACTCAAAGACAACAAGACAGAAGAAGAGACAGGAGGACAGAGCCAGCAGACCTCCAGAGAACAGAGGAAGACAGCCTTTCCTGCATAAAACTCCCACAGCTAATGGGACCTATGCTACAGCATTATAGCTATGACTACCAGAAGATTACCCCCAAATTTAATAAAAAAGCTCTAACAAGATCTAGCTTTTCTGACAATTTTCACCATAAGCAAAAAAAGCCACGTTAACAAAACTGAAAGGCTTATTTAAAAAATAGCATTTAAGAAAAATTTACGCTAGGTTCTTGCTGGGAGCATTCTAATGCCTACATAAATTAGGAACTTGCATCCAAAGAGCAAGGGCTATATCTTGAAATAAATTGTGTACTTCAATGTTCTAACTCATTATACCATATCCCCATCTAATGGCTTCTTAAAAAAAAAAGCTTTACTTGAAATGTTAGCCTGAAAAGTAACAATGATCAGTACAGGCTGGGAGATTCAGGCTCCCTTTACTCCCACACCAAGAATAATAAAAGCAGGTAAGGAAGAGCACTCTGAATCATAATAACTATAAGGAGACAATCCCTTCATTTACCCAAGACACACTGTAAAAAGATACAAAATGTACAGGTTCTGAAAGAGGTCACATAGTGTTCAGAGACAGGAGTTCAACCAGAATTTATCAAAGTCTGTTATTGCATTGCATAAAGTTTTGCAGCTGGAAATGATGCTGCATGAATCTTCTTTCAAGGAACCATGGCATATTTTTCTTTTTCAAACACTGAATTCCCCCAAGGATTTATGTCACATTAAAATGCATCACAGTCAGTTAAAACACCTCTAAAGAACAGTAAGAAACAATGTAAAGACAAGTGGCTTTCTGCTGTATGAAACAGAATGTGCTGCCAAGAAGTGAGATGGCAAGTCCCAGAAAACTGAGAATGCCATTCCCCACACCTGCAGTACTGTGGTTCCAGGGTTCACCAATACAGGATGGCCATCCACAAACACCTCTATTTGGTTGCTGGCTGCTGTTGCAGTTGTACGCCCTGAAGGACATGGAAAAAGAAAAGAAAAACAACTTTCACCTAGTGCTAGATGGAAACCATCTGACCCTCCCACTCCTGATTTTAGTTATAGAGTGCTGACAGAATCGCAGTTCTACCAACAGTGCAACACAGAATCCCTTAGCCTGTAAACCGAGTATGAATATGTGCCCTTCAATAAACATTTATCACCAGAGACCCAGATATAAACTACAGACACTTACCACATACTCTGGAGGATTGGGTGACCCCAGCTAAAGTCCTGGGGACAGCAAGCAGTCGAAGCATGGTGCTTTGGTAAGAGAGAAAACAGGACTGTTGTTATCAGTTCAAATGGTTGCTGGCAAGTTCTAAACAGACAAATCAAGAACTTCTGCACCAGTTGCAAAGGAGCACGTATGCACGCCTGTATGTACAGTTATGTGAGAGTGAGTTACCTCCTTCAAACGCAAGATACGATTCTCTAACCATCTATACATCACACATAGGAATGTCACCGAGCGGCCTCTCCGCCTGCAGCGGAGTGCCGGCCCCGGCCCCGCTCCCCGACAGACCGGACGGCGCAGCTCGGCAGCGGCGGGCCCGGAGTCGCAGTCCCCGG